CATTTCATCGTTTCTGGTGGGGTCCCTCCGATTCTTCTTAGATTTCTTTAATTTCAGAATTAGTATTCTTTCTCAGATTCTTCCAAATTAAAACGGAAATACGATGCAAAACAGGTTACAGAAAGCCAAAAATAAGCATATTAATGATGGAAAGAAATTAAACTAATTTTCCATCAATCTCGAAGAACTAACCAAGCAGGTTATACCGAATTGTAGAAGAAACAGCAGCTGAAGCCTCTGAAACTTCTGCCTTGTTGCTATTGGCATCAACTTCTGGGGTATTGTTACTGTTATTACCTACTTCAAAGAGGAAACACAATAATGAGAAGCTAATCTTAATTTCTTGATAGTTTGTCGATATATATATTTAGGTGAATACAACTTGCTAGAACTTTGTCCAATGATTAATAACAGATGCAAAATCATTAAATCAAACTAAATGAATGCACAACTTGTTGAAGTAATTAGGTAAAAAAGAAGGAGAATAAATTAAATGAAAGAACTCACCGCAACTGATGCTGTCTAGCTAAGAATTAACCCTTTTCTTCAACATTCGTAGAAGCATATTTGGTACACATGCATATTTGGTACACATGCTGTCTAGCTAAGAATTAACCCTTTTCTTCAACATTCGTAGAAGCATATTTGGTACACATACTTGGAGGATGCTTCTTCCATAGTGGTAGCGTTTGTTGTCATGACGGATGCCATCTCTGAGTAGCTTGATGTTGAATGAGGCATGGGCTGTGAAATCTCTCGTTTTGAGCCTTCCACGTCTGCGCTTGTGTTGACAAGAGGTGGTAAGCCTTTTTGAACGGTTTGGGGCGTCGAGCTAGTCTTGGAGGATGCTTGCTGCTTCTTAGCCATACTCCTTGTAACTAAGCCCACACTTGATGAATCCGAAGTAGCAGTCTTCATTGCGAAAGTAGAGCAGTCACTGCAACACTTTGAGGATCTTCGAGAGAGAGAAGAGATGAGAGGTAGAGATGTCCCACTGGGCGTGCCAAAATTTGTAACAACAAATTCT